TTTGGTTTTGGGTTGTTCATTTTTTTTAAGACCTTGAGATGTGTGATTGTGTTATTTATTTGAGCTTTTTCTGAGTTTTTGACGTAAGCACTCTAAGCTTCCCTCTTTGAACTGCTTTTGCTGTACCCCAGAGATTCTGATGTGCTATATTTACATTTTCATTTTATTTCAAAAATGTTTTATTCCCAGTTTCTCTCAATGCCTAACTGATTGTTCAAAAGTGAATTATTCAATCTTGTATTTGTATTTGCAAAGTTTCTCTGGGTTCTTTTGTGGTTAATTTCTAATTTCATCCACCATGATCTGATAAGATATAATAAATTATTTCAATTTTTGTATTTGTTAAATTTTGCTTTACGGCCTCAAATATTATCAGTTTTGGTGAACATTCCATGACCTGCTGAGAAAAATAGTCATTCTGTAGTTGGAGGGTGAAGTGGTCTGCAGAGTTCTGTGAAGTCCATTTGATCTATGGCATAGTTTAACTACAACATATCTTTACTAAATATTTGTCTGGATGACCTCTGTGTTGCTAAGAGTGGAATACTGAAATCAAGCACTATTTTGAAATGGGACATATGTGTACCATATGTTGAATTGTGTTTGTTTTATGAAATTGGATATACCAATGTTTGGTAAATATATATTTACAAATATTATATTTTCTTAGTAGATTTTCTTCCTCTACCAATATGTTATGGCTTTCTTTGTCTCATCTGATGTATTTGGTCTTGAAATCTGCTTTTTTATATATAAGTATAACTATTTCTGATTGTGTAATTCTATGATCTGTGTTTGAAATATTGTGTAACCTTTACAATAACTAACAATCATGTATTGTATAATCATATTTATATGAAATGTTCAAAATAGGTGAACCTTTAGAGATAGAAAGCAGATTGGTGGCTTTCTGGAACAGGCGGTAACTGCTAATGGTTATGGAGATTCTTCTGGGAAGATCTCTGTTTGTTTTTAACCAGGGTAATCTTAGTCTTTATTAAAGTTCTATAAGTAAGTGTTAAGGTGGTGTTTACCTTGGGCATGAAACACATTCAGTGAGTGAAAGATCTTTTTTAATCAACCATTGCATTTAAGTTTTCATTATACCATGATGATTTCTACTGTAGTCAGAATGAATACAATAGAGCCATGATTAGAAGTAAGGCATCTAAAGCTTGTTCACTCACTCGGAGGTTTCATTGCAAAGTAGAAAGAAAAATTCTTCCCAATAGAACCACTGTGAATTTTCCTCTATATTTCTATAAAGGATCAAAAATGCAAAATAATGGAAAAATTGCTTCCAAAACTTCACATGCAAATAAAATATTTAATTTTATTCTTTCTTCCACATTATTCCCTGAAACTTCCTAGTCTATAGATTTATTTAATTTGGAATGAAGTTTATTGATGTGTAATTTTCCTCTTCATTTAATCAATATGAGTCAATCAGATGCTACCATAATTTAAAATGATTAGAAAGTACTTAGAAAACATTCCTTAAAATATTAAGAGCAGATGGTAGAAAGATGGTAACATTATCATCAGTAACAATAATAAAGCTAATATTTATCAAATACTCTTTCATAGATTTATTAAAAATTTAATACGCAAGATTTCATGAATTCTTATCAAAACTTTGGGAGGCAGAAACTGTCATTATCCATCGTTATAGATGAAAACATGACTTCAGGAGTTAATTTCCCCTAAGATCGCATGGTCAGTGTCAGAGCTTCTGAGTTCCAAACACATCCTCTACAGCACTATGTAATGACATCTATTTCTGACATTGTGTCTGTTAGGAGGACCAAAAAGGAGCTATCATTGTTAAAATGACTCTAATTCTAACTGGAAAACTTGGCTTCTTATCATGCACCAGTTACTTTTATAAAAATGCTACCCAAGTAGTATTTTGATATATAACTAAAATTTCTCCATACCAAATTCATCTCTATTTCTCAAAATTGGGTAACTTGTTTCCATCTCTATAAAATGCATACTATAAAGGGGGTGACAACTGAAGATACTGAATAAGCATTGCTCACTTGTTGAGGACTTTAAAATGTCCAGATAATGGTTATAATTTATCAAAACACCTCTTAACCAATTTTTTCCTGACCAGTAATACCTCACTTTAAATACGTTCTTCAGAACTCTCATGTAAACCATCCTGACATAAGTATCTGCATTGTACAAGACAATGAATTGCCAGTTTTCAATAAGGAATAACATTTTCCTGGTTATTAGTTTAGTTTGTATTTATGTGCTTACTGAATATATAGGGTTTTCTCTTGAAAAAATGCCTATCTTTTGCTCATTTGTTCTTAGAAATAATGTATTTCTTTACTGATATATTACTACTTTTAGTAATTATTGCTTTTAGTAATTTTAGTAATTTATGGCTCTTAGTAATTTGTTTCTCTCAGTAATATATATACATATAAATATAATAAATTTTCAAATTTACATTGTGAGTATAATTTAACAAAAATTTTTATTCTGATTTTCTTAAAAAATTTTCTAAAAACTCAATTATCCTTCCACATAAATAAGTTTATCACACTATGTAAGAAATGTCTTTGGGATAGCTCATGCAATTTAATGCATGCATTCCTTTACTGTGTAGTTGAAGTTAGTTACTACCAGAGTTTCTTAGATTCCATTATATCTATTATAGTATCAATACAAGAAAATTCCAGCAGAATAGCAATTCTAAAACTTCAAAACCTGTTCAGAGGAGAGGATTTTATGAGAAAGATAGGCAGATTCTGAATAATGGTAAAATAATGGTTCATAGCATAATTAACATGTCTGCACATATGTATGCATATGTAATTGTGTGTCCCTGAGTATGTATCAATTAGCCCTTTGGTTTCTTATGCTTCCCATCCTTTTGCATTATTTTCCTGTTAATTGCCATTTTTATACTTTTAAAGTTTTTTATCTTGTTGCATTTTATTGAATTCATTTATTTTTAGTTTTTTATTAATATGTTTTTGCAATACATAATAGTTACATTCATTTTGGAGAAGTAGTATATTTAGTATTATGGCCTAAAGGTGCATCTTTTTTCATAACAATGATACAAATGTATCCTTTTTTATTGCTGAATATAACTCCATGGTCTACATATACTACATTTCTTTTTTTATCTACTCATCTGTTGATAAGTGGAAGGGCTGCTTCCAAGATTTAGCAATCAAGAGTTCTGTTGCTGTAAACGTGGGTATGCATGTATCACTGTGCTGATTCTTTGAATTTTTCAGTAAGATACCTAGAGGAGCAATGGCTGGGTCAAATGGAATTCCTAGTTTTAATTTTTTGAGGAATCTTCATACTTAAACTAGTGGTTGTACTAGTTTATATTTTCATCAACAATGTAGACAGGTCAAATAGAATTTAAACTTTTAGTGTTTTAAGGAATATCCAAACTCAATGTGATCCTTTAAATATTTATGACTATTTCCTTTTCGATTTTTATTCCACTATTTTTGTTACATCTGAATTTTTAAATTTTTCATCCTATAACCTCTCCTCAAATATTTGTATTGTATTCATGGTCATTTATATTTGTCAGTGGTAGATCAGACTGACTTTTCAACATTGTTTGTTTGTTTGACAACTTTTAGATCATGTTTACATCAAAGATTCCTGCCCATGACATAGAATTTTTTACTTAAAATCTGTGTAAATAAGAAGTATATTCAGGCAAGCAAGCTGTACTTTTATCTAAGCAAGCTTACATTGGAGTTTGTACCACCTTAAAATATTTCAGTCCTAAATGAATTGCTGTTGTGCTTTATCTCCTGTTTGTGACCATTGTGAGATTCTTCTGGTTACCTAGACTTTGCTCTGTTTCACTCTACAATCATAACTTCCATGCTTGTCTAACTTCTACATCTTAGGCAGATATAAAACATGTTCAGAGAGTTACTCTCATGGCAACATCTAGGGGACATGTTTTGAGCCAGGTATTCTGGACTCTGGGATAGAAAGCAATAGAATGGTTCAACTCTTCCACAGGAATTTCTTCAGTTGTTCACTTTATCATCTATAAATTTTCACATGGTGGGAGTTCCTTTAGGATCTCAGAGAAGAATTTTCCTAATCTTATAATAGTTTACATTTGTCTGTTCCTAGCTGTGTTTTATTTTCCTTTGTTTTCACTATCTAATGTAAACCCTTTCAACCAGAGAAGCATACAATTTTTGTTTTATGAAGCAGAGTATCATCTTGCAGTATTCCAATGCTACTGTAAATTGAAGGTGATATAAAAAATTCTGTAAAACAAATTTTATCTGTTTCTATATCTTACTGTAGATTATGTACAAGTAACATCTTAATAAAATTACACTTTTAACCCTAAAAAATCCTTCTATTTATGAAAATATTCCACAAACATTTTTTCATGTTTCCCATGTGCTGTGTGTACATGTGTATACCTAAACTAACACGTTAAATTGAAGATCATTTATGAACCCTATAGAATCCAATTATATACTCCTTGCATTTTTGGTGATTTATGCCTCTTATAGCTCAAAGAATTATTAGGATATATCTATAGAATATGATCCCAGCTAAGGAACTTATAGTCCAGAAGAGATAAAATATAATGGAAAACTAAATTGTTTGTGGAGTTGCAAATAATTCATTTATCACTTTGTTAGCATATTAATATTCAATGAATGATAAGCATTTTTGAGTGAGTAGAAACTCCCTTGGGAATAAGCAGCACCTGAATTGGCCCTTTGAGAAAGATCTTGATTTAAAAACAAAGACACAAAAGGTGAGAAAAATTATGTAGGAATAATAATACAAAGGTAAGAGTTATTGAGAAATATATACATACTTGGGAAACAATAAAAAGTACAATTTATTCAAAATATAGTTAAGTATGTGAAATATAGAATTGAAAATTTTACCAATGAGTTTATGTGAAGTTTTCCAGTTGTTTTATGAGATGTTTAGAGTTTGATTTTTATTGAGATCTTTCATTTTGACAGGTTGAAACTTCTTTGGAAAAATGGTAAGAAAATTTCATGCTGCTTTTATCATTGTTACGTTGAAATTTTGATAATCTTTATCTGGCCAGTTTTGGTTCAGAAATAATGAGAAACTGAAAGCAAAAATTGTTACTGTAAATATTGAAATATATTTTAAAAATATAAAATGTAGGATTTTACTGTAAGTCAGAGAATATGGGTCTCCATTCATACAAAAATACCCTAAAAATTAAGCAAAAAATCACAACCAAGATTTGCAGAAATCTGGACTCTAGTAAAAAATTTGAAACAGCCCAGAAAAAGCTTATTTTAATGAATCTGCTGGATCATGTTAGGAGAGCACTATGGCATTTTAAATTCTCTTTTTCCACTCTCATCTCTATGTCAATGGTAGCCATGTGGGCAGCATCCCACATTTTTGTATATTTCTAATGCCAGTAGGAATAATTCCAAAAAATTGTGTTTGAGTATTTTGACTTTCCTGTCTGTCCTATGAAAAACAAGCACAAAGCCTTGCCTTCATTTTACCTGGGTCAGAGTAATCGCAGGCTGTCGCAGCTTCTAGGCTGTGCTTTCTAAAAACATTTAAAGATATACACCTGCACAGAAGCCTAGGTAAATGGATAACAATTGGAGTTAGCATCGCACAGATCAAAATGCACGTGAAGGGAAGGTTAGAAAAATATTTATGAGAGAATAGGGTTATTCATAGGTTTCAATATACTACAGAATCCAGAAATACGCCAATGTAATGAGGGGTGAAAAATACCTAAGAATATTATAGTCCTTACCTCTGGCTGATGTTCAGGGGATCTGCGGGAGCAAGCACTGAGGGGAGAAGGAGGACTCCAAATAGCCTGGATAAGCATTGAAGGAGTCCCATGACATAGTCAATTGCCTACAGTTGGGAAAGTTTCTTTTTTTTTTTCCTTTCTTTTGGTTCTGAGGCAATTAAGGTATAACAGTGAAAGCATTGGCTTACCAGCTAGCTAAGATTTCTGTAGTTATATATGAAAAAAAAAATCCCAAACATTTCATAAAAGGTTTAGAAAAGACACTAAACTAAACAAAAATAATTTCAGAACAAACAGGAATACTGAATCTAAGAGAGGTAGGGTAACGTGGTGTCCATTCCACATTGAAATATTAAAAATGTCCAGTTTTCTACAAAAAAATATGATTTAGGCAAAGAAGAAAAAGAAAGCTTGACTCATTCACAACAAGAAGAAAAGGTTCATATAAACTATTTCCAGGGAAGCCCAGAATGTGTACTTACTGAATAAAGACTTTAAATAAACTTTCTCAATAAGAGAAAGGAAATCATGGATAATGAACTAAGTTAAATCAAGGGAACAATGTCTTAATAGATATGAAAGATTATCAGAGACCCCTACAGTGGATCAATCTCCTGCTTGGTGCTATGCCACAAGATGAGAAGAAAGACCTGAAGACAGCATTAAAGAAAAAGAGACAGGGAACTGGATGACCAGTGCTGAGCAAGCAGCAAAGACCCTGAATAGCCAGAACCACTGATATTTATTGGTGACACAATCCATTGTTAGTAGGGTGAAGGGATTAAGTGTGGTTGCTAGGGATAAGTTGCTGATGCAGTCAAGGCTTGTGAAAAAAGAGATGAAGCATTCTTGTGTTAGGAACAGACGGACAAGTTATAGATTGTGGTTAACAATTAACCTTGTCTTTTTAGTCAAGAAGATTTCAATTATGGGAATGAAATTTGGGTGTGAGCCACCTGGACCTCAGCTGCTATGTTATCTCATGTTAAACTCTCCACTTCATGGCCCATTTCTTTGGCCTCTGCTGATTCCATTGGCAGAGAAGTTGTGTTAACTTGCCCACCAACCACAGTGCAAACATGAGTTATGTAGGCTTTGATTAGAGTCACTCCTTGAAACAAACCAGTTGTGGGATTAATTCTTTACAGCCAGCACTGTTTACAGCATGCTTTGGACTTAATCAACAGGGCAGTATGCCACAGAAGATAAAGAAGTAAATCATAAATAAGTAAATAGAAAATCAGTGGCCCAAAAGTAACGTAACTGAAGTTATAAAATTCACTATAGGGATTTAGCAACAGATTTAAGCAGGCAGAAAAAAGAATCAATAAACTTGATAGGTCAATAGAAGTTATCCAATCTCTGAAGTGGACAAACAAGAGAATCTAGAAAATGAAAAGTACTTAAGAAGCCCAAGGGACATAATGCATAGAAATATATCAATGCTATGTTTCTAATAGTATAAGGAAAGAGTAAGTGGGGCATAAAGAATATTTGAAGAAAATTTGAATTAAAGTTTCCAAATTTTGATGAAAGAAACAAATCTACCTATTTTCTAAAGTCAGTGAATTTCAAATACAATTAAAGTCAAAGAGATTCAAAGCAACATGCATGTTAGTCCATTTATTCAAAGCTTGGGATAGAAAGAGAGTCTTGAAAATACCAAGACATAAGTGAATTGTCAAGACTAAGATATCCTCAATCAGCTTAATAGTCAATTTCTTACCACAAATTATGAAAGGTAGAAGACAAGGGAATGACATATTTAAATGCTAGAAGAAGGGGAAAAGCCACTCTCATTCAATAATCCTGAAATCCTGCAAAAGTATCCTTCAAAAATAAATGAGAAATTTACACATTTTCAGATAAAACCTGAGGGCACATGTGCATGAGGGAGTGTATCATTAATAGATCGCTCCTAAAGAAATACTCTCAGTAATCTTTTCATGTTGAAATAAAAGAAGACTACATAGTAATTGAAAACTGTGAAGAAATAAAGAAAAATAACCATAACTGAGAGTTAAATATAAAAATCAGTATAATTGCATTTTTGTATAATTGTGACTCTTCATTTCTTTATATAACCTATAATTAGAGATCTGTATCATTGGACACATAGTATATAAATGTGTGACTTGTAAGAATGACTAAATAAATGGAGGGCAGAGCTACAAATTAGCAGTTTTTAATACTGTTGAAATTATATTGGTTTTAATTCAGACTTAAGATTTATGAAGTTAAAATATTAATTGGCAGCCCAGGTAGCCACTAACATTATTGAAAAATCTTTAAAAGTGAAAATTCTTTAAAAATAAGAAAAGTAACATACTAGAAAAAACAACTAACCACAAAACATGGCAGTTATAGAGAATTGAAGAAATAGAAAATATATAAATGTTTTATAGAAAAATAGCTGTGTTAGAAAAATCCTCTCTTATGAATAGTTATTTTACATAAAAATGGATTAAGTTTTAATTAAAGTGAGAACATATGTAAAAAACTGTTCTCACCCTGTGCTGTATGTGAGACTCACCTGAGATCCAAAGACACAAGTATCCTGAGATCCAAAGATACAAAAGTTCATGCAAATAATAAGTTAAAGAGATCTGTGTGGCTATGCTAATATCACATACAAATAAGTTTAAATAAAAACCTATTGCGGGAGACAAAGCTATATTGATTGATATATTTGTTATATTGAAATTCTGATTTGATATAATGATAAAATGTCACAGTTTCGAAGGGAGAAATAGGCATTTTTATAAGAAAAGTTTGAGAATTCAATTCCTCCTCTTTCATAAATTAAAAAGATCAATAAAGCAATATATTTGACCCATCCAAGAACCAACTGGATCTAACAACTTATATATTTTGTTCTACTAGATAGCAGCAAAATCATATTCTCTTCATAAGCACAGCCTCACAACAAAGCCTCAAACATAGAAAAGAGCAAACTCATACAAAGTGTCTTTGCTGAATAAAATGAAATAGAGATCAGTCACAAAGGTAATTCTATATAATTTTTATATGTAGAAATTAACAATGGATTAAAGAAGTAAGCACAGAGGAAATTAAAAATATTTTGAGATGAATGCGCCAAAACGTATACTATGTAGTTAAAGTAGTTCTCAGAGAGAAATTTAGAGCACTAAATGTTTATATTAAAAAGATTCCCAAGCCATTAACCTAATTTTATACTTCAAGAAACTAAAAAGGGAATAAGCTAAACCTAAGTTAGCAGAAGGAAGAAAATAGGAAATATTAAAGTAATAACAAATAAAAATCAATTAAAACAAGTTCTTCCTCTGAAGATACAAACCGAATCCAACAAAAGAAGAGATGTCTCAAATTAATAAAGTTTGATCGGTACATTGCAACAAATCCTATGGAAATAAAAGGATACTGTGAAAAAGTGTATACCAACAAAACCAACATAAAAGTTTAATAACCAACATAAAAGGTCCCACTTCCTAGAAACACATCACTTACCATGAATTGCCTCAGGAAGAACATCTAAACTGACCTCAAAAGATACAAAGATAGAAATAATAATCCCAACAAAGAATATTCCAGTTTCAGATGGCTTCACTGGTTCTTTCTACTACATATTGGAAAAAGGAATTATATCACTTACTCTCAAAATCTTCCAAAAGTAGGAGAGAATATTTGCGAATTCATCCGCTGAGACCAGTATTAACCATGATATCAAAATCAGATAAAGACTCTATAAGAAATTTACAGAGAAGTGACTTAGAATGTAGATGCCAAAATCTTCAACAAAATCTGAGTAACACAGTATTGAACTCAGTAACTCTATGACCAGGATTATACATCATAACCAAGTTGGATTTATTCCAAGGACACAAAAGTGATTTAAGAGCCTGGTATTTGACTTGGTGGTGGCACACCTGCCTCTGAAGCTCAAGTTCCTGAGTTGGGTCTCTGCTACTGGAAAATAAAAAAGTGATTTAATATACAAATATTAATCAGTGTAATACTAATATTATAAAATGAAAGATCAAACCCACTTAAACATCTCAGTGGGAAGCACACTGGCACAGGATAACACCTTTCATAATGGAAACACTCAAATAAACTAAGATTAAAAGGGAAATTCTTAAACACAATTAAGGACCTACATGACATAGCTCACACTATACTTTATTACGAAGACTGAATATGCCAAACTTAGACTAGGCCCAAGATAGGAATGCCTGGTCTCATCACTTTTATTTATCAGTGAAGAACCCTGTTACCTTGCTGGTATAGATTTAAAATGTTCTTTGCACTAGTGAAATCTGAAATTATCATATGAGGCATCAGTTTCAAACAAGTGTTCAAAGTAAAACATATACAAATGTTGATAACACAACTATTAACAAGAGCTAAAAGTTAGATATATTCCCAAACCCATCAGTGGGTTAATAGATAAAATATGGCTGAAGCATACAATTAAATATTCTACCATGAAAAAAATGAATTGATGATAATACTATAATATGCATAAGCCTCAAAACTATTGTCCTAACTTAAAGAAGCCAGATGTAAAGAATCATTTTTGTATAATTCTGCTTCTGGGAAATAACAGTAATAGGCATTTCCATAGAGACAGAAAGCAAATTGGTCTTGTTTATGACTAGTAGGAGGGGGAGGGAAGCGACTGCTTAATCAAGTGATTAATTTTATGTGACATGAGTTATCTCAATAAAAAGCAATAAAAGTTAACAGAATTAGAACTAAACTTTAGAAAACAATATATCTGATTATGTACAATAATTTACCATATCATGTAATTGGCATTAGAAGCCAGTGGGGGGTTATTTACTAATAAAATATGTAATAAATTATTTTTTATTTTTTATTTTTGTAGTAGGGATCAAACTCAGGACTTGTGCTTGAGAAGCAGGATGCAACACCACTGAGCTAAATCCCTGGCCCAAATATTTTTTAATTTCTTAAAGCAAACAGTTCAGAAAAAATTACATCTTACAACAAAAATATTTTGCAATTAAAATTAAACTAAAGGAAGAAAATATGATAAATATTTTCCTGGTCTCAGAAAATAAAGGCTTTTCCAAATAGATTGTGAATCAATAAGAATAATAATATACAAACATTAGAAATATTCAATGCTATTAAAATATACTGGAAACATCATGAAACTAAAGCAGAATACTTTATTGTTGACATTGATTTTCTTGAAATGTTTATAACTGAAAAAGCACCTTTTAAAAATAAATGAAAGCTAGTTTAATTTCCTAGAATTGAACCAGCATAAGAATGATAATGAGGAATATTTCATTATCCAACATAAAGAAATCTTATTTTAAAAATATTTTAGATAGAAAATAATATTTAATTGGGACATCTTTCTAAAAGCTTAACTTTAAATCTAGAATGATATTACTACTCCTTGTAGTTTGTACTTATTTCTCAGAAATTATTAAACTCAAATTAGAGAATTACTGTAACTAATCCAAATTATTCTCAGACACCCCTTTTCTGCAGGATAAACTCATTTCTTATCAGAAAATAGCTTTAATATCCTCTCAAGATTTCAAGGATTTATAACAAATTTTAAATTTCTATTAATTTTTCATTAAGTGTAAATTCCACTGCCCATTACAATTATCCTGTATTATTCCCCAATATACTAGGATTACTATCTGTAGTAAACATAACAGAAACATTTAATATTTCAGGTAAGAGCAATCACCTAAAATTTGTGTTACTATTTATTAAATATGTCTCTCCTTTACTAATGGTCTCTATCTATAGGAGTAGATCCACTTCTTCCTCAGTGGATCTACAAGAAGATTGGAATATTGCTACACCAGAGAAAGAAATCAAGCCAGAAGAAGAGAGAGGTAAATTTGTTCTTTATACTTAGATAAAAATAACTGTATTTAAAACTCATTGGTTTATCTCTTAATACATTTCTAATTTTCACAATAACCATTTTCTTATAGTTTATAGTTCTCTGACTGTTGAATAAATGAAACACTCCATATAATTTGATAAGGAATTCATTAAAAAATATTAGTGACTATTATGTACAAGACCTGGTCTAAGTCCTGAGAATATGATAGCGGCACACATCTTAAGAGGCCAACTATAATTCAGAGTTGTTCAATAGAACTCTCTGTGATAAAGTATTCTACCTCTATACTCTGATAGAGCAGCCAACTAGCTACACATAGAGCTGTTGAGCATGTGGAATATGGTGAAACTGAGCAAATTCATTCTTGTTTAACTGACATTTAATGTACATGGTGACACCTGGTTTATGGGCTTTGAAACACTTGTGAATATTGAAGTTGTGATTAGTATTCATCACAGCTTATAAAATGAGCAATACTTTATACACAGGCATAAAATTTGTGTTAAAATTACATCAGTGTACTTGAAAATGTCTTTGAGATAATATTAAATTCTTCATCTATACCTACTACAAATATATGCTAATTCCTTTCACTTTTGGTGAAGGATACTAAATAACTTTGGACTTTTTTAAAAGCAAAAATGTTTTGTTGTTCAAAGTTTTCCTGCATAGGGAAGCTTTCTTTTTAACATCTTTGTTTACAGTAGTTGAGTGTACAAAGAAAATAACAATGTCAATATTTACTTAGTAGATTTTTACATGACAGATTTTAAGAGAAAAGATTAACATACTAATATTTACATTTACAATCACAATTAAATTGTTTGTTACCTTTATATGATATGTTTACTAAAATCTGTACATTTGGTCTAAAATACACAGCAATAATGGAATGAGGGAGATTTATTATAGTTAAATATATTTATATTAAAGATTGAAGGTAGTTGCTTACTTACTCAATATGAAATGGTAACTGATGATTTATAGAGAATATTAAAGAGATATTTAATACAATGAATTAGAGGTGCCCTAGGTCAAATACACTTGTATCATTTATTTGAGAATACTGTTATAGGAACAGAATAAAAGACAGTTTATACAAATAGTGAATAATTCTGTAAAACACATAAATCTAATCCAAAGTGTTTTGATTGTGTGTTAATTTCTCTGTATGACTCAGACTGAAGTTATAAAATTCATCATAGAGTGAATCATAAATTATCTGAATACAGTGTTTAATGAGTATGCTTTCATAAAAATGCAATTATCAATATAAAGTGCTCAGGATGTTGTAGAACTTTGCAAAGCAAAATAATAGATTCCAAAAGACCAAATAAAGGATCAGACAAGAGAGAACTGCTTTTATGCATTAAAGTAGAGAAACCTGTTTCTTAAGAATTCCTATCAGGAAGCATGCTGAATTTCTTTGACAAGCCCAAGAGGTTAGAAACAGACGGTACGGCTGGGGCTAGTGGTGCATGCTTGTATTCCCAGCGCCGTGGGAATCTGATGCAAGAAGACTGCATGCTCAAGACCAGCTTTGACAACTTAGCAACTAAGTGAGACCCTACCTTAAGATAAAAATAAAAATTACTGGGATGTATGTCAGTGCAAAAGTCCTAGGTTCATTCAATTGCTGGTACTGGAAAAATAAAATTAAAATATAGACTGTGTTATTGCTGAATTTCTACTTCTAAGCATAATGTAATCATTACGTAATAACATCGTCTGACAGAAAATCATTATCTTTATTTTCCAATAGCAAGGCAAGAAAGAAATTTACTTACTGAATGTTTCCTTAGTGCCATTTTAGCATTTTGCTCCAGCCTCAGCTTTTTGGAGCCCTTATCTTTCCTGACATTTTGTGTATATGTATTCTCATCATGTCACATTTTGAAAAAAGCCATTGTTCAATGGGCACAAATCCCACAAGGATAGGACCTTTATTTCTCTTCTTTACCTTATCTCTAAGGAAGAGTGTATTACCAACATATTATAGCCTTTGCATGCACTTCTTTCATAAATAATGTAGATAAATGAACACTCATGGTAATATCTGTGTTAACATTAATTCCAGAGTTGTGAACCAGGAATCATAAGTATCTCTCATTAAAGGAATTCATTTGTATTAAAACTAAGTAAATAGAATTTGCAAATCATGATGAATTCCTGGCAAGGCTAAGTTAAAAAGTTGTTATCTGATAAAATTGAAGAATATCAAGTATCAGTTTTCTGGAAACTACCTGAGAATTTGCAATATTTGTCTGATATAATCATTATTGTTTTCTTATAAAATGGGATAAAGCCCAGGCCTCATTTTAAAATAAAGCTCTGTAATAAGATTTTCAATAGAACATGTGCTTTTTTGTTTCAATTAATTGTACTTTGTTTGAAGATATTGGTTGGGATTTAATTAATAATTTTAATAAATTATTTATTAAAATATCTGTCTTTGAGACAGTTGGAAGAACTACTGAGCTAAATCCCTGGCCCTCTAAAATATCTGTCAAGTCAATGTATTTGAAATACATTTCTTAGTAATATACATTAAAAGGCTAATTCAGTTTTCTAAAGCACTGTATTAAGTATACAATAATATAATACAACTAAGACTCATGTTTGTATCACTTGGCTTAGAGTGATTCAATAACAAACATGAAAAATATTTCTATTTCAAGATCAAAAATGTCCAGAATTAAAGAAAGAAATGGAAAAATTGCTGTCAGAGACCATGCATCTTATTAAAAGTCTAGAAACTGATCGAGCAGAAGCTGAGCAGGCATTAAGACAACAAAAATCGAGAAAGAAAATGATTATCATGAAAATCGACTCTTGGTCAATCTGGAAACTTCAAGAAGTCCCACTAGCTGTGCAGAAAGGTAATAATAAGGACTTTCCACTTTGTTATTTACTTTGTTGAAAAAGCACAGATAACCAATTGCAGTTCTGTAAACAAAACCACCCATTTAGAGTTTCAGTAATTCACTTGCAAACTAGGACCTATTTCAAAGCTGCTATTAATGATAATGTTGAGTTCTCAGATGACAGGAACTGTGCTGAGCAAATCCAGACCTGCTGACATTTGGGTGTTTTGGAAAATGCCACACTCATATTGTACCCCATGTTCATGCAAACATTGGGCACGTATTTGTCGTATAATTCCAGTATTTCACTTACTAGATGTTGAGATTTAAAGTGATTCACAATTGATATGTTTAGACACATGTTTAAATGTGAAAAATTGAAAAATTTAAGTGGCATATTGTGAACCATATGAAACTCTTTTTTTGAGAATTCAATAAGTATATTTGTTTGAAAGGAACTCGCAATTGTGGTATTATGAAATGTTTTAAAGAATCACACTATTAATAAATATTTAAGAAGAAACGTCTATCTTTTAGACTGCAAAGTAAGGAGCCTATGGTAAAATATACACTCTAATGGTATTTGGTTTTTCTTTTGTTCTCCAAACACTGTGCCTATCAAAACATGACTACCTGATTTAACCTGAGTTTGGAAGTATGTCCTCTCCTAATGTAAAAAATTAAATTTAGAATTCATATATGTTGCAAATAATTTTTAATAAGGCGCTAATATAACCTGTCATTTAAACCAAGAAATCTGTGAGAGAAAAAGGGATCCTATTAACTGTTACTCTGGGACAACAGCCATTAACTATGTGTCATGGTGAACCCATTCGCATACTTTTGTCATAATACCCTAAGTTTTCTCAAACTGAGTCTTCAAGCGAAGTCAGCCTAGGGAGACTCATTTACATCCACAAGGAGTCATCTACAATTTTCCTAATTATCCTTTCTTGTTAGTAGTAGCAGAAAAGTTCATGTAGAAGGCTGATTTTATTTAATTTTCCCTGATCTATTTATATATAATATCAAATACTCTTTATAAGACTGATTAGAATTCATAGAATTAGAATTCATCTGTATGAATGCTTTTTAGGGAGTTACTAAAACAAAATAAAATAAAATTGAATTAAGAAAACTTTGTACACATTATACATAACTAATAAATGCATTTGAATGATGGACTAAATCCTTGTCATGGATAACTTACTTGGGGGATTAAATTTTAAACAATGTTGCTAAAGATGTACTTATGAATCAAAATATTTGTTTATGTTCTCTATTTTAAGTAGTCCACATATGCAATGAAAATTAAACCCATTATTATATATTTATTAATATAGGTTTTCAAACACAATGTTTGAAACATTTCTGAAAAATGTCATGCTTTATGGTATCTTCAACCTTTCACTGATTTATGTAGGATATAATCTTTAAACTTCATGAATTTGTTTATAAAATATGGAATTATGTGTCTTCTTTGTCTTTAAGTTCTCAATTATTCTAGCATATGAAATGGGAGAACCTTATAATCTCCTTAACTGCCTTAATATTAATATGATGTTTATTATAAATTAAATTTTTTAATAAAATTAAGGAAATCTAGATATCTTCTGGTTTATTCTCCAGATCTATTACTCTACACTGTCTACCTCCCATTACTTTTATACTTTGTTATGTGGCCCAGGAAGGTGATTCCTAATGAACTGCATTAAGGATCTCCTTTGCATTCTGTCTTTCTGCTGGAGTCCACTGATGAGAATCAACAGCTAGAGACCACAGGGAGATAATAGAGAAGAGTGAAGCAATGGTATTAATAAGACTGACTAATTCCTCTCTGCCTGGTCACTATAAACCAACTACATCTCCCTCCTGAAAATGACAGCCATTGGCATCTTATATGCAGCCAAATATCGAGCAAATACATTTTCTTTCCCGGTCTAAAAAGATAACCAGAAGTGAGTTTTCCATCACGAATTGCTGCCATATGATCCTACAAATTATAAAATTAGGTTGTATAAACAGTATTCCTTTATAAAATAAAAAGGCACAAATATTATTAACACCCTGAAGGCACAAATAAGCTGGTGAACCAGGCTGCCTTGGTACTGGCTTTGCCCTCGCTTCTGTAGATCCCCTCTATCCCATAATCTGCATTTACAGCCCCATGGGTCCTTCTCTTTGACTACCTAAAGGAAGAGGAAGCAATGCCAGTCCCCGTCTATGAATGGATTTCAACATTACACTGACGCAATTTGGGGAGCTCTGGCTTTCTAATCCCAGTACAAAAAGGGTGCATGCAAACTGCCACACGGGGCAGAACTTCACACACTTCTTGAAGAAGAATAGATAGCCCAGTGACCACAGGGGAAGTGGCATAAAAGACGGCAGGGGAGTTAGTGCCGTGGAAAGGATATGAAGGTAAGGATGGTAAAAGGATACCAAAAGGAAGTGTTGATCTTTCAGAAAGGAGAGGGTCTGAAGGTAGTTATGTCCCGCATAAATTCTTACCAGAAAGTCCTGCCAAGACTTATGATATTACTCTAGAATGTTCTCTTTCCAGATGATGATTAAGAGGCTAATAGAAAAAATGGTGCAAGGTACCACAACAGCAACAGAACTTTGCTGTTTTCTGGATGTTATTCTTTTCTTTGTTTTTTTGTTTTTTGTTTTTAAAGGAATGTGCTGAATGTCTATAATTTTGTTCAGATGACTGCAGAACCTGGAAAAGCTGTTGCTGCTAT